CAACTCCTAATTATATACAATGTAAACAAAGTATCAGACATGACACTTAAGAATTACTTGAAGGCAAAAGTGAATTCGCTCGTTCGACCATCGCAACACACAACAGCAGTGATCTTTGTGAAATTCTGCATGAAACACTGAACAACTTATGACTTGAATAACCATCACGTCAATTCAGAAAACTCTTTTGACCAATGCAGAAATCCTGAAAAAGTGTTCCATGTGAAACTATCTGTTCTAAGAAAAATTAATCAGAACTATTTCATCTACTGCACTGCTTTGAAGACAAAGAATACCAAGTACATCCCCAGTGCAATATAAAATTTAATCAACAACAAATTAAATTACAGAGCCTGATGAAACCCCAAGTCACCAAGTGTTCAGACACACAAGTGGCACACTGTACCAGCAAAGCACCAGGTGTAAAAGCTTTCAAGCCTCCTCATAATGGCAGAAGACAGATGCAGTCAGACGTAAAGTGTGATCAATTACATGTCCTCAGTAAGTATCTAAGGTTATGCAATAATTTCTGACCACAACTAAAGATTTAACTTGTAGTTCAAGTCTTGTGATCAATATAAAACTTTCAGTATCTTCAGCCTCTCTGTTCTATGTTTCATCATTACCTATCTATTGTCATTATGATATCCAATATAAAATCACATACATTCATTCAACATATTTTGTCCAGATTTCACAGCTGAGCAACTGCTATCTTATCTTGTGGTTTAAAAATAATGGATATTCTATACTCACAGAGTATAAACACTATCCATAGAATAACATAGCTGTAGATCTGTGTTATCTTTTAAACAAGTTTAAGAACATGATGTTTAGGTCACAGTACCTGACAATAAGCATAGACCTAAATGCCTTTTCATCATCTTATTCCACCTGTAGCCCTGTTTCAGGCTCAACCAGGTGCAGGCCCAAAGTATGTTAAATGATTTCAAATATTCTATACCCTCCTAAAGGAACTTATTACCTAGGCAAAACAAAATCTCTCCCGACCCCCAGCAGAATCAGCTTCACAAATAGGCCTATAATAACTGATTGGACCATTTATAGGCAAGACTCTTCAGTGGCATTAATGCCTGTCATTTCAAAGTAGATATGATTGTTTTCCCAAGCAACTTAAATGTTCAAGAAAAGAGTAAAGGCGTGTCCAGATGATCAGGCCTGTTTGGCGGGAATGTCCAAGAAGTGCCATTCAAGGCTGGCTAAACAACCTTTTCCACTTGCAAATTGGTTGTTATAGCCAGTAGTTTTGCCCACCTCTGACGTCACTTCTGGGCATGTCTGCTGATCATGCCCATTCATCTGGACATGCCTCTAATTGTGCCACCCTGAACACTAGCCAGTTCAACAGTAACCTTCCATTAAGTATCAGATAATGAACATCTGAGACAGAAAGTCACATCTGTTTTCAAAACCAAAATTAAGTCCCAATGAACTGAAAGTGTAAGTGAAATTTTACTGAAAAAATTCACAAACTTTCTAGTAGTCAAAATGTTTCAGGTTCAAATATGGGTATTTCATTATATAATATTTCCTTTGTTTGGTTGTGCAGTTAACATTTTCAGAGTATTCCATGTCCAATGCAATTCCTAATCTTTACCTGATTATTACTATTATTAATTATGAGCACCAAAACCAGTTGCCCAGTAATTCATTCTTTTTTGCTCTACAGACAATACCTTAAGTGTCCTAACACTATTCTCTCCTATTGAAATTTAAATGTTAACTTTTTATAATAAGAAAACAATAACCACCTCATACTGAAATAGATCTTGAACTTCCATTTACTGTGCCTTGCATAAGTTACACCCAGGTATTTTTGGGGACAATACTAGTCTCCATTGCTGCTTCACCAAAACCTGACACCTGAGAAACATTCAGGCAAAAAGTAGCACAACACTCATCACTCAGTAGGCTTTTCTATCAACTCATAAATGGTATATTAACAATAATATAATGATAAATATTTAAAAGACTCTTTGTATTAAAGTCAGTTGATGTTAAAAAAAAAAAAAAGTAAAACACTGTTGTAATACACCAACTTATCATAACGTCTCCGGATAGCTTTTCATAATTTCATTTTTCTCTTTTAAAATTTCAGCACCATGAATTCCTAAATAGAACATCCCGATATAAGTCCTTCTATCCTAATATCACCAGAGATTTATTAGGCATTTGTACTGAAAATATCATACAGTCTGGAAAGCAAACAAGTATGGAAAAAGGGGAGTTAAAGAGGCCATTGAGAGTTGTCATGGTTCATGTGCTTTGTCACTTCTCTTTGCTATACTGGATCGCCTAAAGGATGCAAGAGTTCTACGGAAAATGTTTTTAACACTGCTAACATCAGTGTGAGAGGCATGTCGTGGGGCCTTCTGCAGGGCTGTGATCATGGACTGTGAAGGTTCACTGGAAATACTAGGAGATGGCGAAGGGTTAGAAGAAGCATTGTGGCCAGCAACAGATGTACAAGAACCAGTACCTCCATGGCATCTTGGACGTGCTCCACCATCCACAATGTTACTCAATTCACATGAAACATACTGGGCAGGACGCGAGTTACTTGGAGAGCTTACAGAGCGCGGCAGTACTGGGCTGGTTTCTACGATAGTACCTAAAGAACTATTTCGAGAAGAACCTCGGCTGCTACTCTGACTCCCTAGCCCAGAGGTAACATTGCCACTCATGCTCTGCACAAGGCGAGGGGATCGTGGCCCAGGTGATGTCTGTTTGGGTGGTGTTTGCGCTCCTTCTTTCCTTTTAGACTGGGCATCTTTCAGTAGCTGGACGGCCTCTGGGTGTCGAGCCTGAGCAGCAATCTGTATTGGGGTAAGACCCTGATCATTCTTGAGGCCGGGATCAGCACCTGCTTGCACCAATGCCTTTAAGACTCGGACATGACCATACAATGCTGCTGCATGCAGAGCAGATTCTCCATTCTGAAAAGGTAAAGTGCAATTAATTCATCTTATTACAAGAATATATGACTTGACCAAAAATATTAACTTTAATTTTTTGTTCAGTACAACCTTTACCTAATATATCAAAACTGAATTTCCAATATGTACTAAATCTCATAAGACATATAATGTACAGCATCGAAGGTACATTCCTAAAACTGTAATATTTGCACTACCACTGCCAATTATGTGAGATGTCCAGCAAGCACACCCTAAGTTATTAATTTTCTTTTGCTCCTGTACAGCGAAACTGGACATTATAAAAAGTCAAACAAAAACACACGTGGCTTTATGACAACTAAGGCCATGAAACCTCACCCTTAAGAGACCCAGACAAGGCTTATAGGGAAGCAGCTCATGGACAACCTCCACATGTCCCTTGTGGGCAGCCTTGAACAAAGGTGTTGCTCCATCCTGAAACATGGATTTCTCAATCACCAAAACATTTTGCTTTAATAGGTTCAAAAACACAAAATAAATTGATGAATGATAATCACTTGCAAGGCACTATTGGCATACTGTACATTCGCAAGAAGAGAGGAAAAAGTAGTATTTAAAATTTTTATCTCCTGACATGGATCAAGCTGTCACACAGAATTAGGTGTTGGGGAAACTAAACTTGCCTTTGGAACTTAAATGACCAGTTCATTTTGTACTGAAATATGAAGAAACTCACGTGTCTGCAGATATCTGGATTGACACCATGACTCAGCAGTAGACGCACAACACCTTGATGTCCCATTTGTGACGCAATCCACAGTGGGCTGGCGCCGTCCAACCGCCTCACGTTGGCCTACGATGGAGGAGGCAATTGGTTTAATGGCCCTCATATTGGCTGGAGACCGCTTCCAATATATCAATTTATATATTCAATATATTCAGATTCCAACGTTTCCTTTGATTATCTCCCCTTTGTGTCTAAGCAAAATATGTATTTTCTATATATAACCCCCCCCCCCCTCCCATAAAAAAAATCACTAAATCACTAATCATTGTTTCCGCATCAGGTCTCTCCAGAAAAGCCTTTCTCCATACCTACACCCCCACACCCTTCTCAGCAAACACAAACACTGGTCCTGAACTTCATTACATCAGGCATCAACCCCCCGCCGCCTTGGAGACCGAGATTCACCTTGGCCCCGGCGTTGAGGAGAGTCCTGGCGACGCTGGTGTGGCCGTTCTGCGCCGCGACGAAGACCGCGGTGGCTCGGTCCTTCATGGCGCTGTTGGGGTCGGCGTTGCGTCTCAGCAGCTCGGTCACAACGTCCAGGTGACCGCACTGTGCTGCTACGATGAGAGCAGTTCCGCCGTCCTGCAAGAGGGACAGGTGTCAAGATGGTGCATCTTAAGAGAAGATTGTAAAGCCAAAGCAAGTGAGAACTATTAATAAGAGGAATGTTGTAACCAAATCACATTAGATATATAAAAGTCCCTTCTTACTCCTTATAGCTAAGCATCATCACTAAAAGGAATCAAATAAATACACACCACTCAACTTCCCTTTTTTACAGAACGTCTTCCTCCTTACCTTCGAGGCCTGGTTGATTTTGGCGCCATTGTCGAGCAAGATGGTGACGATGTCGAGGAAGCCGCCCTGAGCAGCGAAGAACAGCGCCCCAGTCCCCGTCTGCGAAGAGAGTTAGTGCCTTTGGAGATTACCGACTTTAACAAAAGGTATTTATGATGGTGGTTTGAAGGTTGGTAATGACGACGTGACTGGTAGTGGTCGTGGTGGAGTTGGATTTAGAGGGGGCATAGGCTCAGAGATCCTTTTTATAAAGTAGCAATCATGAAATTGGTTTTATTATTAAAGAGAATCAATAGAGTGGGGGTGGGGGTGGGGTGCCCCTATCCATTTCAAGGCGGTGCCCCACCTTTTGAAGAAGAATTGCTAACAGTAAAAGACCGTGTAAACCGTGTTAATCTAAACATTAAAATACTAAATTATAATCATAATAGTGCAATGAGGCATAAAATGTATGTAAGGTAACAAACATTCATTAACGCACACCTAATCATTATAATGCAAGGTTAGCATATCGCTATGGTCCATGTTAAAGCTGAATACTGCCATCAGTTATTCTTACAATCAATAGAATTGAAAAAAATCTGAAGTTTGCTTTGGCAACTAATATATTTGTTCTTCGAAGAAATGCGGCTCAACTTTCATTTGAATTAATTATTTATTTATGACTTTTCATGCTCAGTGGCCCCGAAGCTGAAATACCCCAAGATCTAAATCGGGCTGTATTGGTAGATATATTGATAGGCGGATATAATTGCATAAATATGTGTATATATGCACATATACATTTACGTACAGAAAATAATAGTTCTTTTAACATAAAGAAAAAAAAAACTCAAGTCACTTAGAAAGACATGCAAAGGCAATGACCCGTTTTGTAATCAAATCGTTTTCATGAGAGCAACACAGAATACTTGTTACTGTTGCATTAACACTAATTTGCAAAGATGCATATGATTAATATTCAATGCCGACGGACGCAAATTTGGCATACAATTCAATTAAAAGATAGGGCGCATATCACTGGTGGTTTTGAATATTTGATAAATAGCTTGTGGCTATTTACCTGACTAACTAACTGACTGCTTACTCTCTTGATTGACTGACTGATGGACTGGTTAAATTACAAGTTCAGTGACAGACTGACTGGCCGATTGATTGAATTAGTGTGACTGACTGCCCGATTAACTCACTTCCTCTCTTCCTTTCTTATTCACTCACTCCCTCACTTCCTTTCTTATTCACTCACTTCCTCTCTTCCTTTCTTATTCACTCACTTCCTCTCTTCCTTTCTTATTCACTCACTCCCTCACTTCCTCTCTCCCTTTCTTATTCACTCACTTCCTCTCTTCCTTTCTTATTCATTCACTTCCTCTCTTCCTTTCTTATTCACTCACTTCCTCTCTTCCTTTCTTATTCACTCACTTCCTCTCTTCCTTTCTTATTCACTCACTTCCTCTCTTCCTTTCTTATTCACTCACTTCCTCTCTTCCTTTCTTATTCACTCACTCCCTCTCTTCCTTTCTTATTCACTCACTTCCTCACTTACTCTCTTCCTTTCTTATTCACTCACTCCCTCACTTCCTCTCTCCCTTTCTTATTCACTCACTCCCTCTCTTCCTTTCTTATTCACTCACTTCCTCTCTTCCTTTCTTATTCACTCACTCCCTCACTTCCTTTCTTATTCACTCACTTCCTCTCTTCCTTTCTTATTCACTCACTTCCTCTCTTCCTTTCTTATTCACTCACTCCCTCACTTCCTCTCTCCCTTTCTTATTCACTCACTTCCTCTCTTCCTTTCTTATTCATTCACTTCCTCTCTTCCTTTCTTATTCACTCACTTCCTCTCTTCCTTTCTTATTCACTCACTTCCTCTCTTCCTTTCTTATTCACTCACTTCCTCTCTTCCTTTCTTATTCACTCACTTCCTCTCTCCCTTTCTTATTCACTCACTTCCTCTCTTCCTTTCTTATTCACTCACTTCCTCTCTTCCTCTCTCCCTTTCTTATTCACTCACTTCCTCTCTTCCTTTCTTATTCACTCACTTCCTCTCTTCCTTTCTTATTCACTCACTTCCTCTACTCACTTCCTCCTCTTCCTCTCTCCCTTTCTTATTCACTCACTTCCTCTCTTCCTTTCTTATTCACTCACTTCCTCTCTTCCTTTCTTATTCACTCACTTCCTCTTCTTCCTTTCTTATTCACTCACTTCCCTCACTTCCTCTCATCCCTTCTTATTCACTCACTTCCTCTCTCCTTTCTTATTCATTCACTTCCTCTCTTCCTTTCTTATTCACTCACTTCCTCTCTTCCTTTCTTATTCATTCACTTCCTCTCTTCCTTTCTTATTCATTCACTTCCTCTCTTCCTTTCTTTCTTATTCACTCACTTCCTCTCTTCCTTTCTTATTCATTCACTTCCTCTCTTCCTTTCTTATTCATTCACTTCCTCTCTTCCTTTCTTATTCACTCACTTCCTCTCTTCCTTTCTTATTCATTCACTTCCTCTCTTCCTTTCTTATTCATTCACTTCCTCTCTTCCTTTCTTATTCACTCACTTCCTCTCTTCCTTTCTTATTCATTCACTTCCTCTCTTCCTTTCTTATTCACTCACTCATTCACCTACCGACTGGCAAGCTGGCAGCCTCGAAAGACCGACAAATAATTCACAACCAGGCTGATGTGACCCCCTTCACTTCCCAAGAGGGTGCAGCGACAGTAATTTCGAGGAGGCCACAGCGTGCTAGTGCAAAGAAGCAGGACTATTTCTCGCTTGTCTGATGAAACGTTTTCACAGTGACAAGAAAAAAGATAATCAAAATATAGTTATTTTGTCTCGATTGGCTTCCTGAATGAAGGTGACTGACAGACAACGTTTTTCTTATGGGTCTAAGTCGTAGGTAATGCAAGAGTAGTTCCCTCATAATACATTCATTTATGATTATGTTGTTAATTAATATTTTTTTAATGTTTAATATGATTCTAATCACACTTCTAGTTAATTAGTTTTAGGTAAAAAACAAACAAACGTAAAAGAAAATGATACAAAAGGAAAAAAAAAACAGTAGCAGTTCGTACAGGATATGTAATGCATAAAAAAACTATAATACTCACATGTTTCTAAACATAGGAGTTGTCGGTATTATTCGATTGTCACCACCTTGCCTCCAGCTTTTATAGAAAATTCATAACTTTTATCGCTGACATTGCCTTTTCACATCTTTTCATCGGATTCTTTTCATTATGTCTCTTTCCTCTCTCTATCCCGTTATTTTTTTACTTGGAAACTTTTTTCTATCGCCACCTCTTTCTTTCTAAAAGATTTTTTTATATATATATATCCGTAACCCCCCTCTTCATGTAAGAAACCTGCTATCTCTCCTAGCACCCCTCTTTTTAGGGGGGGTAAGTATTTCTCCTATCAACTACCTCTTTCTTTCTCATTTTACTAAAACTTTTTTATTATTATTATTTCCTGTGACTCCTCTCTGTTTACAGGATATTTTTGCTGTTTACATTCCTCTCTCCTCTTCTTATCGGGGACTTCTTATTTTTCATCACCACCATATCTCTTCCCTCCCCCCCTTTTTTGTCCTCTGTGTTTATCAAAAACCTTTTTTTTTATTTCAGATTTTTTCTTCCATCAATTACTACTCATTCTCCCATCTCTTTTTTTTTATCGGAAACTCTTCTCTACGATTTCCCCTTTTTTTTTCTTTCCTTCTTTTTCTTTCTCTTTTTCTTTCTTTTTCTCCGAACTATTATAAGCACATCAGACGTCGAACTCCACCTCCGCTCTGAGAAGTCGAGAGCGAGCTTAAGCGAGAACGGAAACTTAAGACGCAGTTCAGGTACAAAGAGTGTAAAACTTGGCGGCTGCGGGAACCTTTTTGGGTGCTGATCACTTTTTTTTTCCTCTTCTCCTTGGGTCTGCGGGTGGGGATGAGTGGGGGGGGAGGGGGGGAAGAGGATGGGAGGGGGGGGGAGGAGTGGGGAAGAAGGGGGAAGGGGGTGGGTAGAGTGGGGAAGAGGATGGGAGGGGGAGAGGAGTGGGGGGAGGGGGGGGGGAGGAAGAGGATGGGAGGGGGGGGGGGAGAGGGGGGAAGGGGAGAGGAGTGGGGAAGAAGGGGGAAGGGGGTGGGTGGAGTGGGGAAGAGGGTGGGAGGAGTGGGGATTAGGAAGAAGGGGGAAGGGGGTGGAGTGGGGAAGAGGATGGGAGGGGGTGGGAGGAGTTGGGAAGGGGGTGGGAGGAGTAAGGAAGGAGGGAGAAGGGGTGGGAGGAGTGGGGAAGAGGGTGGGAGGAGTGGGGATGAGGATGGGGGAGTGGGGATGAGGATGGGAGGGAGTGGGGAAGGAGGGGGAAGGGGGTGGGAGGAGTAAGGAAGGAGGGGGAAGGGGATGGGAGGAGTGGGGAAAGGAGGGGGGAGGGGTGGGTGGAGTGGGGAAAAGGGGGTAAGGGGTGGGAGGAGTGGGGATTAGGAAGAAGGGGGAAGGGGGGTGGAGTGGGGAAGAGGATGGGAGGGGGTGGGAGGAGTTGGGAAGAGGGTGGGAGGAGTGGGGATGAGGATGGGAGGGAGTGGGGGAGTGGGGAAGGAGGGGGAAGGGGGTGGGAGGAGTAAGGAGGAGGGGAGGGGGAAGGGGAGGTGAGGAGTGGGGAAGTAGGGGGGAGGGGTGGGTGGAGTGGGAAAGGATGGGGAAGGAGGTGGGAGGGGAGGGGGTGAGAGGAGTGGATGGGTGGAAGGAAGGAAGGATGGGTGGGTGGAGAGAGGGGGGGAGGGTGACTGGTAGAGAATGCGGGGAAGTAGGAGTAGAGAGTGGTATTGCGGAGGGGGGAAGGGAGGCGGGAGGCAGGGGAAAGAAGAAGGGAGTGGGGGAGAGGAGCAGGGGAGAAGTGGAGGGAGTAGAGGGGCGGAAGGAATGTGAGAGGAATAGGGAAAGGAACGGATTGGAGGGAGGGAGTACACTCTCACACACACACACTCACTCACTCTCTCTCTCTCTCTCTCTCTCTCTCTCTCTCTCTCTCTCTCTCTCTCTCTCTCTCTCTCTCTCTCTCTCTCTCTCTCTCTCTGTGTGTGTGTGTGTGTGTGTGTTTTTATCCTTC